GCAAAATTCATATTGCAGATCTGTGGCTAAGGAAGTTTGTTTATGGACTGATGGCTATATTGGAAGTTAGCTGCTCAATTAGGCTGGATGTTCTCTTTCGTTTTAATTTTCTTTTCTGGGCTGCCCTGGGACAGGGCTTGTAAGCTTAATGTTGTTTATTGTACAAAATATGCATACGAGGACACCCTCCCACCCACTCAAAAAAAAAAAAAAAAAGAAGAAAGAGGCGATGTCATGCTAATGCAACCTCTGTCCTATATATTTTGATGGTTATAATATTTATATGATTTTTGATTCTAAGATCGTTGTGTGACAAGGTTCCTTTAGTTCTTAAACTCAAAAAATATACAAAATTATGTATTTAGGTTTGCATCAACTGCTAGATGTGACTACTTTCTGCTTTATCTTCCTAATCATAACCATATAGCTTTTTGTTCTCATGTAGGGAGACGGGACCCTGCTTGCGACTGGTTCATATGATGGACAAGCTAGAATTTGGAGCACAAACGGTAAGCTCTATAATAAATTTGCTGCCTCAATTTTTACGTTAAGAAGGTGAAATGTAATTAAGATATGTAGCAGCTAAGGACGTACATGGACATGAAGTGGTCAAATGGCTCAGACACACTAACATGCCATTTTCTGAGAAATTAGGATCCGAGCATATTTGACACATTTTAATTAATAGACATCAAACTGTCTCTGTTTGAAATTATGGCGTTTATATTTAGAATTACCAAACGAAACGAAGGATAACATGTAACACACAAGAAGTTGAAATGCTGCTTTTATTTCTCTGCTTATCTTGTATCTTATAGTAAATGGTTTTTAGAAATCCAAAACCAAGTGTCGTTCTTAATGATTCAATGTCTCATAGGAAGGGAAAATTCAATATCAAATAATATGTACAATCACTTGTTTAAAGAACAAGTTTGATGTTTTATTCAAAATTGATTACATTTGAGCAAACGTAATACATGCGTATTTTGGTGTTCTCATGCTAATTTATGCTAACTGTCAGTATATGATACAACGAATATAAACACATTACTTGAATTAAATTATTCGTGCTTGAGACCATACTGGAGTAGACACAAATAGTTCCTGAACAGGTCAGTTGTGATAAACCTAATAGGAAATTCTCATTTTTTATAAAAAAGAAATACAAGCAGCGAGTAGTGCGTCATGCATCAAACATCAAAGATCTTCCTGAACTAGGACTCCATCAATTACCAAAAGGTTTCCATTTGTCCTCTCTAAATTTGGTCAGGGTGCCAGACTGGTATTAATGTCAAACCACTGGGACCCCTTCTGTTAGGGGATTGAATCCAAAAAATTTGCTTGGGGTTCTGGATGCTGGAACCCTGTGGCCTGGCGTTTGTTATTGAAGTGACCCAACTGATAAAGAACCACTGGGTCAAGCAGAGGAGCAAAGCTAAAAATGTGGGCTGGACTGCTAGGTATTTTTAAGGATCAATTCTAGTGCCTGGACAGACCCAATACATGACAACAAGGACAACCCCCTATTAACTAAGAAAACCAATTTGATTGGGGAATCGACCTGGATCAATGCCAATAGAGACACACTTTACAAGCACCTCACAAACACTCGACTCTAGAGGAGGGATAAAGGTCTTATGTCAGGTGTGAGAAGAGGCATTCCATGGGTCATCATCGCGAAAGCAATATGAAGATTCTGTTGGTATTGGAAGGAATGGAAGAAGTTGATGGATGAGGAACAAGGAACTAAGGTGAAGAAATGTTGCTAGAGGTAGCACAACTCTTTTTTTGCCTCACACAATGAAGCTAAAGTGGATGTTTTATGAAAATTGGTAATGGTCATGTTAGATTGTGGGGCAACCCATAACTTTGTCATTGAAAACTTGGGTGCAGATTTGGAGCTATCTTGGGGGAAGAGTGGAGGACTGTTGGGGTTAGGTAAGACCATCAAAGGGAAGGGGTTTTTTGAGGAGTGACACTAATACTATTTACTACTAACAAACTTGAGGTGGTGGAATTCTTACCTCTTGATCAGGCAACTGTGACGTTTTATTCTTGGTATGCAATGGCTGGGCACAACGAGAAAATGTAAATCAATTGGAAACCAAAAATGTGGTTTGCTCTCAAATGAGGGTACAAAAACCTTCTATCATGCCACCACAAACGCACTCTCCTTCCGAAGAGGTTTTAGATAACATACAGCAGTCTCCTTCCCCTCCTTTGGTTTGCCATGGCTAATCTCCATCACGTGCCAGATAGGGGATGGGTGAAGTTTCTGGAAGGAGAGGTCGAAGGTTGCTATTTTTGTACTAATTCTTTTATGTGAAATCTATCACCCACTACAAGATCCCTTAGACACGTAGCAAGTGGGTTACCAACTAGCCAAATGAAGACAAATAATTTCATAGAAAGATCCTTCACATATCGCCTGAAAATATTTGCCAAGATCTCTAACTTTCTAAGATCGATCAAATGTTTCTGGATTATAAACCTTCCTAATTATTGAAAGAGCAAAAAATACTATCATGAACAATACGAAGAAAGAGGTAGTATCATTATTAAGTTGAAGAACAGAAAGAGGAGTATACTTTGGTTGTTGGTACCAACCTTGAAATCCTCAATCAAGACCTTGATCACTATTTGAACTAATTGAATAAGAAAAACTACCAAGGTCAAAAGAAAAGTAGGAGGATCTCCTCTTCTAACACCTATCAACATTTTGAATACCCTCCGAAGAGGTTTGAAAAGGAATAAGGCAATCCTTAAAGCTACACGTCTATTTGGCATAATTTTTCCTCCCTTCATTGAACTTTGTTGCACTGCGTTCTCTGTGCATCTCATTCTGGTTGTATTGCTTTATACTTATGCTCCAGGTGAGTTAAGGAGCACATTAAGTAAACACAAAGGACCGATATTTTCTCTGAAGTGGAACAAGAAAGGTGATTATCTTCTCACTGGAAGCTGTGACAAAACTGCTATTGTTTGGGATGTGAAGGCTGAGGAATGGAAGCAACAGTTTGAATTTCATTCAGGTCGTATACATTGATTGTTGTTGAAAGAAAAAAAAAATGCTTGTAAAAAGTTTGCCATAGTGATGCTGTTTTTACATTTAGGTCCAACACTTGATGTTGATTGGCGCAATAATGTATCATTTGCAACAAGTTCCACGGACAATATGATATATGTCTGCAAGATTGGAGAAACTCGTCCTATTAAAACTTTTGCAGGACATCAGGTTCCTTTTTACCCCCCTCCCTCTTTTAAATGTTTGATATTGCTAGTCGTGTAACTTGAATATTAAGTTATTATTATTGACTTTGGTCTAAATTCATCATTTTTTTAATAATTTAAATTTGTATTATTATTTTTGTGCAAGAAACAAATTCATTGATGGTCCAAATTCATTATTGAGCTGAGTGTTATTTTCTAGTTCTATTTCAAGTTTTGGAATTATGCAAATTGCACGTTTTGGGGGGCAAAATTTTCTTATTCTATCTAATTTTGTTTTTGCAACTTTGTAGGGTGAAGTGAACTGTGTCAAATGGGATCCCACAGGATCGTTGTTGGCTTCATGTTCTGATGATATCACAGCTAAGGTTATTTATATTATTCAATTTCGTGGTCTCATTTGCAATCAATTTATGAGTTCAACTTAGTATCTCTTCCTTTGATCTTTTAAATGAGAACGTGTTGCATGTGCCGCTTATTTGTTACATGCTCTGCTTGTATCTTGCTTCTCGGCATTTGTTTTTCAATTGTGTTCACCAGAAAGTTTGATGCAGATATGGAGTATGAAGCAGGACAAGTATGTTTATGATCTGAGGGAACATTCCAAGGTACTACTTATGATCCATTTTCATGTGCTTGAATTTATATTTCTCTTTATATTAGACTAAAATTTCAGCAATTTCTTTTTTTCAGGAGATATACACCATAAGATGGAGTCCCACAGGACCGGGTACAAACAATCCTAATCAGCAGTTAGTGTTGGCTAGGTAATTAGCCGAGTTGATGTGCACTTTTTTAACCTATAATAATCCAATCATGCGCTTGACCTAATGGTTTTCTTGTTTTATAGTGCATCATTTGACTCAACGGTGAAACTGTGGGATGTAGAACTCGGGAAACTCATTTGTAGTCTAAATGGACATAGGTACCATTATTGATTGTCAAATATATTTAGAGTTCTTATTGCATCGAAGCATATGTAGATTTACCTAATCTTCCTAATCTTCAAGAAATTTAATGTCGTCTACTAATACTATTAGTTGAATCACCAGGGAACCTGTATATTCTGTTGCATTCAGCCCAAATGGTGAGTACTTGGCCAGTGGTTCTCTTGATAAATCAATGCACATCTGGTCACTTAAGGAAGGCAAGATTGTTAAAACATACACTGGGAACGGGGGTATATTTGAAGTTTGCTGGAATAAGGAAGGTGATAAGATCGCTGCATGTTTTGCCAACAACACTGTTTGTGTCTTAGATTTCAGAATGTGAGATATTGAGAAGTACCAATAGAATTAGCTTCTTATGTTTACTTATTTTATTTATTTTGATGGGGAAGAGAACTTATACCCGGTGGAGGGGCGCCATGTTCTCTTAGCCTAGACCTTAGTCGTAACTTTTCTGATGTCAATTTTTACTGTTCTAGTAATTGTCACTCCATTGATAACAGTCCCTGTTTCATTGACTTGTGTACAGCATTTGTAACCTTTGTTAGCAATTCTTAGCCGATTGTTGTATTGCAGTATGTATGTTAGTATTGCTCCACTGGCTCCATCTATTTCTCCATATTTTCAAATGAACTCTGGAATGTTCCTGAAGCACACACTTGAATTATATTGTTCCAAATTACATTACAGTTATTGACTACTCGTGTTGGATAACACTTGGGCTAGATTTTCGCTCTTTGGTGTAATGAATTTGTTCATTTGTCCTTATTCTAAGCTAACAGCCTTTGAATTGGATACAAATTTTAGACAGCGTGGGAATCTCAGTTGAAGATACAAATAAGAACATTTCATGTTGTAAGCTACTTTTATAATGAATAACTTCTTACAGGACCCCTGATGAATTTGATTACAACAGTTCCCAAATCATCTCACCAGTAATCTCCACAAGAACATAATCCATCTTCAAAGTGATGGAAGCGATTTCGATCCCTCATTACAATTTTACGTCCAGTGATCTTCGATATCAACTTCATTACGGCATGGCAATCTGAACATACTCGTAGATTCTTCACAATCTTGACAGTGGTGCCCGGTTGAGTACTGATAAGCCCGAAGGCAATAGCAAGCTTCTCACTGTGAACTTCAAGTGATTGCTCCTTCTGTTCCTCCCCAAGGTCATGTAACACAATATCGGTCTGTGGTGCGTATCCGTGAGCTCTAAGCCAGCGATTTATCTCATTCAACATCATATAGATTTCTTTGGTTTTGGGATGTTTCCTCTCACCAGCAACGAACTCATGCACCTTATTGTTAACTTCAATTGAGCTGCAACCAGGCTCCTTTTCAATGCCATGCTCCTTCATCAACGTCCTTATCTTAGCAACCCCTTCCCAATTGCCTGTGGCAGCATATATATTGGAAAGAAGAACATAAGTCCCTGAATTTGCAAGCTTCTGGTCAACTAGAAACTCTGCAATCTCCTCTCCCAATTTGATGTTACCATGGAGTCTACAAGACCCAAGTAACGTCCCCCACAAAACAGGATCAGCTGCAACCGTCATGTTTTTCACGAGATTGTATGCTTCTTCAAGATGTCCAGCATGTCCTAGAAGATTAACCATACATCCATAATGCTCGACCTTCGGTTCGATTCCATATTCTTTTCTCATCAAACTGAGGAACCTCCTTCCCTCCTCCACCATCCCACCATGGCTGCAGGCACTCAGAATGCCAATGAAAGTGATATCAGTTGGCTGGTATCCGATCGCAGTCATTTCCTCGAACAACTGCAATACATGTTGGAAAAATCCGTGCATCGCATACCCCACAATCATCGAATTCCAGGCAACCACATCCTTATCTCTAATCCCATCAAATACCAAACGTGCATCTTCCAAGCTACCACATTTGCTATACATATCAACCAGTGCGGTGCCGACATGAACATTCATCTCAATCCCCTTATTCTCAATATACGAATGAACCCACCTTCCAGATTCGAGGGCACCCAGCTGCCCACATGCGGAGAGCACAGCCAGAACTGTTACTTCATTGGGCTTAACTTTCGCCACCAACATTCGCCTGAAAAGCTTCAAAGACTCATTGGGAACACCATTCTGCGCATACCCACCAATCATCACGTTCCAACAGACCACATCCCTCTCTTTCATCCCATCAAACAAGGCCCGTGCCTCGTCCAGCTCCCCCAGCTTCGTGTAGCAAGTGAGCATAGCCGTTAGGGAAACCAAACTTCGCTCAGGCATTTTATCAAACAGTTGGCGCGCACACACGACTTCGCCCCCTCTCGCGTATACATCGACCAGGCCCGTTCTGACATATAAATCGGAATCGAACCCGAGTTTTATTGCTTGGCAATGGAGGGCTTTTCCCGGTTCCAGCGAGCAGGATTTCAAGACAGAGGAGAAGGTGAACACATTGGGCTCGACTCCACGGGTTAGCATTTGGGAATAGAAATCGAGAGCTTGGTCAAATAGCCCACATTGTGCGTGACTGTGGATAATCGAAGAATAGGAGAAGACATTGGGGTCATCGGAGGTGTTGAAAACGGCCACCGAATAGTCAAGGCGGCCGACAGTGGCGTAGGAGCGTTGGAGCTTGAAATTTAAGATGGGGTGATGGTAAAGCCCCTGCCGGAGAAGAGAAGCGTGAATTTGAAGCAGGCGGATGACGGACCTCGATTTGTCGATTAGTGACGCAAACCTCTCTACTTGTTGGGAACGATCGGAGGTAGTGGCGGTGGAAGGAGAAGATGGTAACAGAGATGAACGGTTAGTGGTGACAAGGGGCGGCGGCGATGGAGGTGGAGCTGTGAAAAAGGAAGAAGATGACATTGTTTTGGTGCTAATTCAAGGATTTGGCGCCATGGAATTCATGGTTCGACTCATCGCTAAGACGGAGAGAGAACGGGGAAGAAGAAGAACAATTCAATGGGATATTTTTTCCCGCATTTCTAGCCAATTTTTATTGTTCATCGAAAATATAGAAATCTTATAATAATAAATAAATAAACTGAAATACCGAAAGTTTCTTTTTTTCCTCCCATATCTTTAAAGCCAGAAGGCTAATTGTTTCGATGGATCTTCGTTTGTCAAGGTATATCAAGAAAATCTTATTTTAACTTTATGAATTTTAGAAGAACACGATCATTACAACTTTTTTTAGTTCATTAATTCAGGTTGAACAATGCTTGTGAAAATATATTGTGGAGATATCTTGATTATTTAGATTTTTTTTTTTTGATTTACCATTTCAACAAGGTACAATGCCACTTCATTGATGAAATGAAGTACCACTTTTCTAACTATTGTTGATTGACACCCACATATTATATTACCTTTTGAAGGTCCTTTATATGTCTAACAATGATCTCCAAATTGTCCTTTTTGATGGTGACAAATGGTCACCAATAAGTCCCAAAAATTTCTATTGAGATATAGAATGGAGGTCACTAAATAGGAGAATCTAGTACAAAATTTCAAAAAAGTTTTTGGCTTGGAGATCACCTTGAAAGCCTTGTAGTTGGACAATTATAATAATTTCACCCGTGATTTATCGTATAAACTAATATTTATGTTGTCTTTCTAAATAATATAGTAGATATGGTTAAAGTAAATAATTTTATGCTCGTCCATAAATCTCCCAATCAAATAACCCCTTAAGAATATAGAGGGCTAGTGGAAGCTAGCTCTTATTCTTGCTCTTCTCAACTTTCAATGTCATGAATATAGAGGAACCGGATGCAATTATGTGATAACAACACCAACGTTGAATGATAGGTATTAGTGGACAAAGTATTGTATCCCACATTCTATACTTTTTTTTTCTTTTTATAAATTATTGGAATGCAATAAATTAAAGCTGCCAAGTATTATTGGTTTCACTTCTTTGGATATTCTTTTAGGTTTTCCAGAGACATTGGATGCTTTGGTTTCGAGCATTTTAATACTTATCCAGTTTCCTACTACTTATTACATGTTCAAGTAGACCTCTTCAATTGTGAAATATACCTGAAAAGAGCAAGAGGTTACAAAGAAAGAAGAAGAATGTAGAAGAGAGAAGTATGTGAGAAATATATGTGCTAGAAAAAAACTTTCCTTAATAAGTTTTAAGCATGAGATTGATGAATAAGTTTAAGCTTTCCAATTTGTTTTCCAAACAAATAATTAAAGCAATAAGCATGAGATTAATTAGTAAGTTTAAGACATTGAGTATGGAACTTAGAGAACTTGAAACTCATTTCTATTTTTTGAGAGAGTTTAATTTTATAATAAACTTGATACTTAGCAAAGTGAGAGAGAAGAGATTACTTTGATTACTTTTATAAAATTTTCATACAGATGATTTAGGATTAATTGAGGGGTGAAGATTGTGAAACCAACAATAGATATAAAATTGAAGTTTGAATTTGAAACGCATTAAATATAAAATTGGTTTGGATTCAGCTCAATCCATCATGCCACCCATTAATGGCTTAGAGAGCATCAAATCTTGTTAATTATCCCAAAAGAAAAAGAACTTTGGCATCTAAATCTCTACTTCACAGCCCACCATGTTGCCCAACATATATTTCTCTTGTCGTCTCTGTTATCAAGTTCATCAAGGACACAGATTCTCTCTCACATGCTTAAGAAAACCACAACATTGAAACATTTAAAATCCAGTTGGGAAATGTGGACATGACACCTTTAAGACACCCAGTTGTACAATATATAATTGTGACAAGACAACCTTGTAGGTATGTTTTGTCACCATTGACATGCCCCATAACTAAGAGTAAAGATAAAAAAGAAGGGAAAAAGAAAAAAGGGAAACGAAAACATTGAGAATAATCCTACTATTTCTTTGAAGTTGAGTCGTGTCATGTACTCTTAAAAATATGCTTCGAGGTTTGAGATTTACTTTATCTCAGAGACTCCACAATAAAATTTAAGAGGAAAATAAAAGCAAAATGATTTTAAAAGATATTCGACTAAATATTATATTATATTTTAGTATTAAACAAATGTAAATAGAAAGACCTATTGATCACCACAAAATTGGTAATAATGCAGTGCCAAATCAAGTACAATATGATGATATATAGAAAGTGAAACTTATAATTCATTATTTATTCACAATATTTATTTTGTTTTTAAAGAATAGGTCGTCTAAGAAAACTTCGTAAAGACAACCAACTTTAAAACTGAGTTATATATCTAAACAAATTTTAATTTCACTCAAATTCTTCCCTAAGTACCAAAAAATAATTTTGAAAACAAAAATTCTGAAACACAAACACTTTATCATAAAGTTGTGCATCATCATTCACACTTCAGTTTGAGCATATAGTTTGGAAGAATGTATAGAATAATAGAATAAAAGGCTTAAAGAGCGACAATGAAACATTGTAATGTGGAATCTCTGTCTCATAGGTACATAATTGAATGAATATTATAGTACACTTACAAAGCTTCTGTTTCTATAAGATTAGAGAGAGAATAATTTTAAGAGCTTAGCTTGATGTCCAAAGCTAGCCAAACAATAACTCCAACTTGTAACTCAAGCAATCACTCCCTCATCTCCTCCCCATTGTTGTAGATTCTTCTTATTATTCCCTCCCCTATTTAACTCCCAAAATCACCCCTGATGCACCTTTGAAACCAACTTCTACCATGAACTTTCCCAACAAAGAAGGCCAAACTGGGACTTTGGCAGATGATAACTTAGGCAAATGGCTGAGTTTAGGCCTCGACAGAACTGGCCCGTCCGCGACTACCGCTGTGTCGGGGACGAAATCAAAGCTCGTCAAGGCTGGTGGGGGCGGAGGCGACGATAAGCTCTTCTCATGCAATTTTTGCATGAAGAAGTTCTACAGCTCCCAAGCTTTGGGAGGGCACCAAAACGCCCACAAGAGAGAAAGAGGAGCTGCCAAAAGGCACCAAACGGATACGAAAATGATGATGCTCTCAACAATGGCGGTTTCTGATCTAAACTACGCAGTGGCTTCACTCGGTATTAGACCCCATTCGGTTGCCCACAACCCTTCTTCCCATTCGCCATGGCCAAGATCTTTGAGAAGGGAAGAAGCCAAAGCCATGGAAATGGAAGTGGGTTTTTCGAATTGTTGGCCGGGAAGCTTCCGGTTGAAGAGAGTGGAAAAGGAAGGATCCTCCTCCATCAACCACCTGGACTTAAATCTTAGCCTATGATAGTTCAACAGTTAAGATTATTTTACTCATTTATTAAAAGGTAGAGATTCAAATACTACACAAAAAAAAAAAAAAAAAAAAATAGTCTCGAAATTATGTTATCAGGCATTATTGTAAATTGTTATATATATATTCTTTAGGGTTATGTTTAAAAAAAAAAAAAAGCTTTAATAAAAGAAAACTTGTGTTTGAGCTTTTCGTTTCTTACCTATCACATATGTAAGCATATTATTCCCTTTCATCTTGTTTTCTTTGTCTGAAGAATCGAATAACTACCAGAAGGAGAAAGTTTAAAGTTTTTTTTTTTTTTCAATTATAATTTTTATTGAATTTTTTCAAATTTATGTTTCTTAAAAGAATAATTGATAATTGTGAATTATACTCTCATACAAATGCTTATATTTAAAAAAAACAAAATTGGTTAAGGGCTTGGTATTTGTGGCACACGCTACAAGAAGAGGAAAAATAAACGGCAAGAATATTTAGCCAATTGTTGAAAAATATATAAAATAGATTAATGACTTGCATTGTATACAAATGACTTAATTATAAGATGCAACTTGCAATATACATTTTGTGGCATGAGTTAATTTGCAATGGTTAATTATTTTATAAATTTATAAGTTTCTATTTTTTTAAAAAATTTTGTTTGCCAACAGAATTGTTTGGCTTTTGTAGTCCATTTCGATGAGTTATTTTAAATTTTTTTTGTACGAACGGTAGAAATTGACAATAGAAGATAGAGTAGAGTGTCTTTTTTTAAAAAAATGAAGTAAAAGAGTTTACTAATAAATATTCTTTTATTAATTAACATAAAATATTTATCAAAACAAGTATAAATAAACTAATTGTGTAATTGAAATGATTGATGTATGATATATTGATAATTGAGTCGTAGTTGGCGAGTCTTTTCAATCATGTGCTTTGTTCTGTAACTCACTTACCAATTGCCTATGATCATACGAGAATTAATTAGTTTACATTGTTTGGAGTGTTACTATAATTATTAAATGCAATTAATTCATTTCACTATTCTTGCCCTACAATATTTAGCCATTAGGGTCAAATTTGAGCATAATTTAATAGATTAAGGCAACAAAAGGTGTTTTCAAGCTAACTTAGCCTAATTTAATGGATTAAAGCATATATATTGCTCATCAAAAAGGTGTGTTCAAGCCAACTCATTCTACAGTACTGTTATATCTTTGATCGGTAACAAAATTGTCCTTTAATGTCTCAACACTTGAAAGGCTCAACTTAATTACCTCCACGTTCATTGAACTTTTTTTTTCCTTTTTACTATCTTGCTCATTTTTTATTTTTTCTACTATTCTTAGAGGATAAAGTCATCTTTTTGTTGGTTGTGGGTACTGAGAGATTTGAACCTCCAACATCCTAGTTTATTATTACGTGCTAATATTCTTGAGGTACATATTCCACCTTGTATTTATATTGAATTTGTTTCCATGGATACTTTAAAAACGTAGGGTAAAAAAAACAAAAAACAAAAAAAAACAAAAAAGAAAACCATGCAATCTCTCTATTCTTCGTTTTCTTTAATAGTAGTTAAACTATAATTATATCAATCACTAATTAACTCATAAAAAACATCTTTATATTTGTGATATAAGGCTTAATTCTCCATCTTTATATTTGTGGTACTAAAAGGCAATTACTAATTAAAAAAGTGTTAAGTTTTTTCCGATATTTATGATTGTATTTTTTAATAATTTTTTTTATAACTTTTAATCACTGTTTTTATGTCATTTTATCTCAATTAAACCATATATTTATTTTTGCAAAGGAATTAAACCATAATTAGACAGAACTCAAAATGTTATAAATGGGCCTGCATATCACATGGTCTCGTACGTACGGACATCAGACCACCTTAAATTCCATTGGGCTTATCTTCCTTTGTAATGGGCCTCATCTTTACCAATTATTTCAACAACATAATAAAGTCAGGTGTTTACAAAATTATCTTTTCTCAAAAAAAGAAAAAAGTAAAATAAAATAAAAAGGTTTTAACACAATATCTTATAAAAATATTGGCACGTATAATTTATATTTTTAACCGTATTTCTATACTTTTTTTTTACTTCCATACATCAATTTTTGGAATAACTTTTTTTGCATTCCTGATCTTATGCCCTGTACATGATTAAATTTCAAGAAAATATGCTGCATATTAATAATACATGCATATTTTACAAATTATTACGTGATTCTTAGGAGACCAAATAAAAAGGGGTATGAATGATTATTTTACGACAAAAAATTTATATTTTGGTTTTAATAACTTTTCGGTTAAATTAAAACTTTTGATATCTCCTAGGTTTGAGTCTTCAGGCGGGCACAAGTGTCTCTAGTTATGGTTATGATTATAGTGGAAAACACTAAGAGCTGTTCGATTCCAACTCATAAAAATAAAATAAAAATTATCAGTCTAATCTGTAACCCTTGAGGTTTGTGTATAATAAGTTCTTGAATTTTAAAAAAGTGTCATAGGTCATTAAACTTTCAATTAGATATAAAATCGAAAGTTTAGGGATCTATTAGATACTTGAAAAAGTTTAGTGACTTATTAAATCAAAATCTAAAAATTTAGGTACCTTGTAATTTAACCTAAGGTATATAAGGGAAAAAAAATTTCATTTAATGTTTTAAAAGACTAACATACAATGAAAACATAAAGTGAACTATTTTGAATTTAATATAGAACCTTCAACCTTAAGAAAGTTATAGATGCCTCCGATCATTGAGTTTTGCTCCAGCCGGAGAAAACATGTAGTATATTTAAACATGGAGCTAAGAATATAGTGTAACAATTATCAATCAATAGTAATTATCATGGATATTTCAATCAACAATTAAGTAATCTTTAAAAGATTAAAAACAAGTCAAAGCGAACCTAATTCAGTGGTGATTGACATATATCTCAAATGATGAGGTTGTGAGTTTGAATCTGACCACCCCATGTTGTACTAAAAAAAGATTAAAAACAAGTTTAGTTCTTAAACTTTTAGAATAATATTTAATAAGTCAGTAAATTATTAAAGTATCTAATAAATTCCTAAACTTTTGATTTCGTGTTATATATAGCTTCTTTAAAATTTATGTTTAATGGGTTGGACCTATTTAATATTTGCTTAAAATTCACATACTTAATAGGACCTTGGCCGTTCCAATTTTGTGTCCAATTCACATATACCTACATTTTAATTTTATATTTTTTTAATAGGCCAGAAATTGATTAGACATAAAATTAAAATTTTAAACTTTTTAAAATTTATTGAACTATTATTTAATACATATTATTGAAAGTTTGCATATGTATTAGACAACACTCCTTAAAGACATATTTAAACATAGTTCAAAAATTGTAGTGACCAAATTTATAATTTAACCTTTTTAAGTTAATCATCAATATAAATAAGTTACTATTCTAAAACGACTTAATTATCAAGCTAAGTAATGATTCAAAAGACGATTTAACTACAGCATAATTCAACCTTTCAATTTAACCTTTCAAGTTAATCATCAATATATATAAGTTACTATTCTAAAAAGACTTATCAAGCTAATTAATGATTCAATAGACGATGAAAAATCAATGGCAAGCACAAAATTTTCCAAATATTATTATGGAAATAAATGACTGAGTTGATTTTTTGTGACACTGAGAAAAAAAAGAGAAAATGAAGGATTGATGACCAAAACTATATTCTTGCAGGCGACAAGAGGAAGCAAAATTCAACGAATATGTTCCCTAATAATTAATAATACATATTCAACAGATAATAGAATTAATTACTAAATCCTACACTAAACACACAGTAGAGGCTTAGTTACTCACTATTTTAAGATAACTTTATCAGTAATAAGTAATATAAAATATTACCTGTTGGGTTTTTTGTTTTTTTTAATATTTTTTAGAGAGAGAAGCTTAGCTTTGACCAAAAACAGTGATTGTCATGTTACCCATCAAATGAGGTTAAATTAGTGTGATTGACCCAAAAAAAAAACCTAATTAGAGTGTCAGTATTTTATCCTATCCATTATTCTCATACACGAAGTGGTTCGTTCCAAATAAATTCTTTCAATCCATCAATGAAAACCCATATAATACATTTTAAGTTATTACTTGTTTTTCTATATGCAATGAAGATTTCTTTCTTGCATAGTTGTTTTAGTTAGATTGTATCTAAGTTTGTGCCACTACTTTTTTCTAAGAAAGAAGTCCCGCATTTATCGATTATCAAACATATAATTAGTTCATTGTTGAATTAGGATTGATAATTGAATTAATTTAGACAAACATAGGAAATGCAATAGACACCCCTATAATTCTAACCTAATTTTGATGTAAATAGACAAGATTAAAAGATGGGGAAGACACGTTTTTAAGATAAAAGTGAAAGTGCTGTAATAAAAAAAAAAGTGAAAGGAATATTAAGAACTAGGGTGTGTTTTTTCTTTTTTTCCTTTGGAGACCATTATCAAACACAGAGCAATCAATTCAAGGGCAAGACATATCCTTAACCACCGACCTGTTCCTTGTTGTTTTGAATAAAAACATGTGATTGTAGCTGGCCATCAGCTAGGGCTTGAAGCTCTAGCTACCTTCATGTCTACAACAAAGGCAAAGAGTTTTGTGTGTCTATTCAACTTGAATTTATTGTATGCCAAAAAGGAAAAGAATTTGGCTTTCTTTTCATTGATATTATTACATTATTCTCTAACCTCTAATTTTATGTTTTTCGTCCACGACGGAGTAGTAGAGTGTTATGTTAGGGGTATCGATAAATTATTATCTAACACTGTTTACACTTTGCTATTTTGATTCTAAAAAAAATATTAGGATAAATTTTTATTACACATTATTATACGTTATAGTTGTTAAGGATCCCACATTGAAAAGAAAAGAGAGACCTTACAATGTTTCATAAATATTGATATGGTATCGGAGTCCAACAAACTCAAATGAACATCTGGTC